CCTAAAACAATAAATCTTTGTTGTTGAGCCCACATGTCTAGTTATTCAGTAATTTAGCTGCAAAAATTTTTTCTAGCAACTTTTTAACTTTTCAAAGTGTAATTTTAGTTTTTTCTAGAAGTCTATTTTTTACAGTTTCTCTGGTGGAAAATTACTCCTCGTATTTATTTATTTATATCTACAATGTCCCTAAAACACAAATTCCTGGTTTTGATTTTTTTCAGTGTAGCTTCGTCGGATTAATGGCTTCTTCCTTCCTGATTGGCCTTTCAGCCCAACAGGCCTGATTTATCTGGGCGTAATGACTCTCTCTCCACCTTAAAACTCGCCCACTGGGGTTCCTCATCTATTCTGAATGAGCCAATCAGAAGCTGACAAAGCAGTGACATCATCATCTGAAGGTTTGCTTCGTCTCCTGCAGGTATGTGAACGGAAAAACCTACATGGAGGACGTGGCGGACGCTCTGGAGGAGGCCAAGGAGGAGATCTTCATCACTGACTGGTGGTGAGTCTTCATCACTGACTGGTGAGGAAGACTCTGGTCAGCAGGTCTTCCTCCTGCTGAGCTGCGTTGCTGTCAGAGTTGAGTGAGTTCAGGAGGTTTCCAGACGGATCGGGTTCAGGGTTCTGCCCGGCCGGGTCCGAGTTCAGATTATCGTTAACGGAGAGAAAAACGCCGCAGCTGCTGAATTTACCTCATCAAATTTTCTGCTTTGGTTAAATATTTTTATTTTGTTTTCTAATGATTTCTTTAGATTTTTTTTATTGATATTTCTTTCATTTTTTATCTTTTATGTATTATTGCTTCTATCTTTGGTTTGTAGTTTTTTCATTTAGTATAATAACTATCATTAGAATGATGTGTAGAATCAGAAAGAGCAGAAAGTCTGAAAACGTGAAGAACTGCATTCAGCCTCCTGCTTCGTGCTGCAGGTTGAGTCCAGAGATCTTCCTGAAGCGGCCGGTCGTCGAGGGGAACCGATGGCGTCTCGACTGCATCCTGAAGCGCAAAGCGGTGAGCGACAAACTCTTTCAGTCCAAACCGATCATCTGGACCCGGAAACGGGAAGCAAACCGGCCGGCGCTCAGAGCAGCGGAGCAGCTTCAGTTGTTCCAGAATGTATCGATAAAACCTGATAAAATATTAACAAACAGCTGCTCTGCATTCGATAAGTTAACTTAAAACTGATCAGTTCCTCCAGGAGTTCATGATTGTTTTCAGGATTATATTCCACTCAGAATCTCAGTTTGTCGATTTTGAATGAATTTCTGCAAAAAACTGGAGGACCTGATTGATGCAACTTGATTTGGTAAAATAATGTTTGATCTGGGAGGTTGTGACATGCGTCCCTCTGAAGGCGCCGTGGCGGGCCGCATGTGGCCCCGGGCCTCCAGTTTGACACAGTTTGAACCGTTGCAGCAACAAGGCGTTCGGATCTTCGTGATGCTCTACAAGGAGGTGGAGCTGGCTCTGGGAATCAACTCCGGCTACAGCAAGCGGACGCTGCTGCGCCTCCACCCCAACATCAAGGTCCGACCACTTCCTGCCGAGGTCACCGCCGCGCCGCCGCTTCCTGTCTGATGCTGCGTCTGTCCCCAGGTGATGCGGCACCCCGACCACGTCTCCTCCGCCGTCTACCTGTGGGCGCATCACGAGAAGATCGTGGTGATCGACCAGTCGGTGGCGTTCGTGGGCGGCATCGACCTGGCGTACGGCCGCTGGGACGACCGCGAGCATCGGCTCACCGACATCGGCAGCGTGACGCTGTCGCACCTGGAGCAGGTCAGGAGAAATCATCCATCAGTCATAGATAATTTGGATATTTAAAACGTCTTCCACTTCCAGTGTTAAATGTTAGAAATTAAAGTTTATTGAACTTTAATAATGTCATTATTACCTTCATATTACCTGAATGTTGTCCTGTTACGTCCCTGCATACGTTGCGTTTTTAAATCTGTTTAAACTTTCTTCTTCTGCGGGTTTCAGGCTGCAGCCGCGGCCTCCAGCTCAGCGGCGCCCTCCGGTGGCGGCGGCCAGAACAAGGTTTTCTCGGTGATGGACTCTGGAGATCAGCCCAAGCTGAAGAGTCAGGGGAGGATGAGGAGGACGAGGATGAGCATCAAGAAGCACCTGCAGAAACACGGGCTGGCGCGCGCCGACAGCGACAGCGACCTGGAGGAGGAGGAGGAGGAGAGTGAGTCCGAAACACGCAGATCCACTCAGATCCATTTAGATCCACTCCAGTATATATATATATAAAGTATATATTTCAGTTCACCTAAAGCAGGGGTCCCCAAACTACGGCCCGTGGGCCGGATCCGGCCCGCCTCCACATTTGGTCCGGCCCCCTGAACAATACCAGAGAGCATTCAGATTTTTTTTCATTTATTGTATTTTCCGGTTTATATGTGGATTTTTCTTCAACCACCAGGTGGCTCTTTAGCAGGAACTGTGGGTGTTTGGATTTTTCTTCAACCACCAGGGGGCTCTTTAGCAGGAAGTGTGTCCTGTAAATTGTGGGGCGCATTGCTGCCATCTGTTGGACTTTTAGGGAACTGCTTGACTTTTATGTTATTTAATCAGTTCGGTTGTTTGCTAACGGTAGAGCAGATGAACACGTGTCTGTTATGAACGCCGCATTCCAGGAAGCGATGCCTGTAAGTAGCAGCTTATACTTCAAAACGAGCCTTTATGTTAATATATGAGAAATTAATATGTTAAAGTTACTTTCCCTCATTGGAATATATACTAGTCAGTCCCAGTGACCGTTTCACTCATGGGTTTTGCCCCTGTGCTTTCTGGGTAGAAACGAACCCCCCCGCCCCCCCTCTCAATAATTTCCGGTCCCCCACCGGAAAAGGGAAAAGTTATGTGGCCCTCACAGGAAAAAGTTGGGGGACCACTGACCTAAAGTGTAGACATTTTTAATGTCAGTAATAAATTAATAATAAATTATATAATGTAAGGGTGAATTAAAACTTTTTTGTTCATTTTTATTGCTTTTATCTCCAAAGTGCTGGAAAACTTTAATGTGAGAAAAGTTTAAGATTTAGTTTAAGTTTTAGAACTGATGAATTATTTTTGTTTAACTAAAACATTTGATCCATTTTATTCATTTTTTCCGTTGAAGTAAATAAACTCATAACTTTTTAATAAAAAAAGGTTTTAGTCATTTTCTAGACTTAAGTCTTTCAGAAATGTTTTTTGGACTTTCCCCCCCAAATCAGGTAAATAAAATAAAAAGATCGGTACCCGACCATTTCAGAGGAATGGTTGTCCAATGTGAGGTCCGAGGGCCATTTTCGGCTCTCCGGATGATTTTGTTTGGTCCACAGGAGTGAATTCACGATTAATTTGAGATTTTTATAGATGAGATATTCAATAAAGACACAAATGTCTTAAAAAATAAATGTTTCAGTTTCAATTAAAAACTGAAATGTTTTTGGCCCAAAGGATAAAAAGTTTGGACTCCACTGATGTAGGAATATAGAGTTGGTAGGATGTTGCTGCGTTGCGTTGCTGGTTGCTGACGTTGCGGCTGCGGCCGGTCTGTTCAGGTTGGTCGTCCAGCATCAACAGCCAGCAGACTCTGATTCCCGGCCGGCTGCTGGAGCTGCGGGCGGCGGCGCCGCTGCCGCTCGCCCAGGCCGGTGAGTCCCGGCACGACGGCCACCAGACCCGTTTCCCAGCATGCACTGCTGTGGATTTGACCTTTACTCGACAACCTTTGGTCCTCTGGGTCAAAGGTTGATCTTTGTTTTTAAAAACAGAGAATCTGTGGTGGTTTTTATGATGTCACAGAAACTGTTTGTCTCTTTTTCAGGTAAATAAAATTATAATGGAGTGAATTCAACATTATAATTTTATAGTTTATGTATGTAAATGATTGGTAATCTGATCTGTTCCTCAGTACTTGAGTCGACTTTTTACCAAATACTTTTTTACTTGAGTCATTTCTTGAACGGATATTTTTTACTTTTACTTGATTCTATTTTTTTGCCACCTCTGTTCTCAGCTGAAGATGTTAGA